CTCTTCAGTACTTTGGAGAGGTCTCTGACAGCAGACTTTCCCATCGTAATATGTCTTTTAATTTCATGGCTGCTGGTGCCAAGAGTGTTGATTGCAGAGCCAAGCAAACTAAAGCTGTGAACAATCTCAATCTCTTCACCATCTATTATGATGCTGCCAAACAGCCCAGTAGTGATAATCTTTGTTTTCTTGGAATTGAGCTTCAATCCATATTGAAGGCTGCAGTCTTTGACCATCTGCAGCAAACGCTTCAGGTCCTTCTCAGTTTGAGCAAGGAGGGTAAAAAAGTCACCTTTTCACAGACTTTGCCAGAGACAGTTTTTAGGATTTTTATAAGCACATTAAAACACTAAAATAACATACTATTCATATTCTGCCAGGGCTTAAACTTTCCATTATCTAACAAATATATAAAATAAGGCTTATCAGAGATGTACACAAAGAACCACTAGCTTCCCAAAGTACCTCTGATCCTAGTAAGAGCTTCAGTCTGCTCTCATGTGCTCTCATCATCAAATCCCCAGCAGCAATCTTTCCTTCTCAGCAAAGGAAAAGAATACTGCTGATATTTGAGAACACCCAGGAGAAAAATGGGGGAGCGGAGGAGGGGAAAAGTTTTTCAAATATTGCTTTTCTGGCATTCAACCAAATACAATTACATAGCATCTGCAGAAGATGAAGTCAAGATAATACAAACAAAAACTTCAATGAGGCCAATTATCCTGAAAGCTTTTCCAAACTGTGCTTTGAGATAAAAGGTAAGCTGCTCTAGAACCCTGAACCCTAGAATTAAGTAGCCAGGTTCAGGCCCCACCTTGGGCAATCCTCTTCACTACCTAATTTCAGGCCCCACCTTGGGCACCCTCTTCACTATCTAAATTTCTCTCCAGCGACACATGTCGGTGCCACCTATACTTTTTCTAGAATATGCTGAGATTATGTCTACACGGTAAAGTTCCTTTCTACAGTCTCAAATTAGCAACTACTTCTCCTTACAAGTTCTTTAACAGAAAATGTACTCATTATCCACATTTAAGTGTTGCACTGTGAAATATTAATGCTTAAATCACAAAAATGCTTGGAAACTATATAAAGAGTAATAATGTCATAAATAAGATTAAGAGCACATGGCATTAAAATAACAAGGCAAATATAGTCTTGGATTATAACCCAGAGCATAAACAAATATCCAAGAGTCCACACTGTTGGAAACCCTCAATTTGAGTTTGTCTTACATTTTGCTTAAGGTTAGATTGGGGATACAGGTTTTAGGATGTGGGGAGCAACTGAAAAATTAAATTTAAAGAAATTTCAACTATGCACCAGTAGATAGGCAGTACTTTTGTTCAGAAATTTACCCATTAATGAACATTGTTACAGAGGTCATTCTTGTGGACAGAATTCCAGAATCCACATTTTAAAAAAATGGAAACGAAGCCGCTTTGCAGTCAGCAACATCACACTCATGTTATGATCTTGGTTTTTCCTATGTAAAAGCTAGATTACCATCCCAAAATGCCGAGGAAAAAGAGGCTCGAAGACTCCTCAGAAGGAAAGAACTGAGGGGTAAAACATACAGTTGATCAAACTATGAACTCTGACCCATCAATGAGTTTTTTAATCAATCTAGTTGGCAGCAACCAACATTTTTTTTTGCATGATAAAAAAATGGAATTAAAAATAAAAGTACTTCTCAAATGTTAAGGGCAATACAAATCTGTAAAATTTTAGTTCTTCTCTTTATAAACAAGTACATGCACATACATACAAAGATAAACCTACATGTAAACAGACAGTTGTAAAGGAAAATTAAGTCACTATCAGAAAGTTTGAAAGTCACTAAATGCTTGATTCATTTCCTTCTCTTTCAGTTCCACACCTCAAGAGTCTAATAATCTAACACTGTGTCAAAGATGAGTAAGGATGAAATCTAGTCCACACGAAACCACCCACTGCCATGGACTCTATTCTAACTCACAGCCACACTGTAAGACACAGCTGAGCTGGTGAACCGGGTTACCAATGCTGTAAGGGAGCTCTGGTGGCCTAGTGGTAAAAAGCTGCACTGTAATCCCAAGGCATGCTTTTGGCATGGCTTTGAACCCACCAGCTGCTCAGCAGGAGAAAGATGGGCAACCTACTCCCCTGCCTCTGAAAACCCACCGGAGAGTCATCGAAGGGTCAGATGTGACTTTACAGCACTCAACAACAACAGCAATGCTGTAAATCTTTCGAGAAGCTGACCTTCTTTTCTCTCCTGTAGTGCTGCTGGTGGGTTTAAACCATTTACTTTTCTGTTAGAAGGCATGAGCTTAAGCCACTGTACAACCAGATAAAAATCTCGTAGTACCTTGGAATTTGACAGAGAGTTCTCTGTCAGGGGAAAATTATTCTAACTAGTAAGAAGAGAACTGAAGCTACAAAATGGTAGGATGTAAAGGGTGCTGCAACAAGGCTCCTAGAGGGTGAAGCGCACACATTTGAACCCAGAGCCACACCTTCTGGAGGCCACATTCACAGACCAACTGCCTTCTTGTCATTTCCACTTGGAACATGTCACAGCAAGTCTAAGGTTTCTAGGCAACAACCAGAGATCTGATTTCCCTCCCACTAAAGCCTTTCCCATCACAAGCTCCATAATCTCCCAGACACTCAAGCCAAGTTCTCGAAGTCCTCCTTGACTCCTCTTTTTCTCAACACCCTACAGCCATGTCAACAAACAGTCTATCTACTGTACCCCCAAAATAACTCTTAAAAATTCCCACATCCCTCCGTATTTTGGTCCGTACTACTAAAAAGGATTTCTACAAACTCTGAACTCCACCTCTTATGTCTAAACTGTCCCACATTTTAAATTTTTACACTTTCAGTCAAAATGGTTAGAAAGAATCTAACTTGTGGCAGACAGGATACACTGATACTAATAAAATTCACTTTTCAAAATACATCCAATGCCATCTAAATTATAGTCACCATCATCCACTTTTAAAAGACACCTCATTGGTCGATATTTCACTTTCCCCCCTTTTTGAACTTCTGTTTGATGCCCCCCACACAGCTTTATGTACAAAGCCTTTTGAAACAAACCTATGGATTGACGGTGGTGGTATCAAGTGCCACAAAGGAAGTTCCAACTCACAGTTCTCCATACAGCAGATGAATACACAATCCAAGCTGCCATCCACTCCAGCCCTGTGAACGCTGAGAATGTTACTGCAGCCAGAGCAGGAGTTCGTCTTGTTGAAAACTGCCCTTGTCCAAGGGCCTTCTCCCAAGCATGATGTCCTTTACTAGGGAATAGTCCTTTCTGACACCACGGCCAAAGTAATTAAAATTTTGCAATTCTTTTTCTTTCTGACAATCACAGTGTCTACGCATTAAGTTCAAGTCCATGTGACTTACTTGAGCCATCACCGAAATTTTTCACTGAAAACCATCAGCTTTTAAAAACTTTTGTTAGGCAAGAGTTCTCAACACTTTGTACTCAAGTATTTCAATGTGTCCTTTTGTTTGCTCAAGATGAAGCACACAGCAGGACCAGGGATGAGTGAGAGGTCTGTCTACCTTTTAATGAAGCAGAGAAGTGCACGTGATAGTGAAAGGAAAAGCAAAAAATATGACAGCACACAAACTGATTTTAAGAGAAAGGACATAGGTCATTTGGGATCTAGAAGTTAATTCTATGAAAGCCACACCCAGATACCACTTTGAAAGTCTCTGTGAACTTGCATTGGACCACATATTTTATTTCACAGCAATCAGCAAAAACGTCCCTAAGATCCAAGAATTCTCTTAAAAATATAATTTCCATTTTTTTATTTGCTACACAGTTCAAATACACCACTTGCACCACAGGAGAAAGATGAGTAATCACATCCCATGCAATTTACAGCCTCTAAAAACCCACTGGAGTTTTTTCCCAACTCAATGGTACATAACAATAATATAACTGCTTAAAATCCTTTAACAATTCACACTTAAAGAAAAACTAACTCCTTACTGCGACCTCTAAAGTCCTATTTCATTTCACTATCCCACAAACCAAACTGGCCTGCCCCACTTTCTTGGACTGCTGCCAGAGCATCTGGCCTCAGGACCTTTGCACCTGCTGTCCCTTCTACTCAAAATGCTCTTCCTCTGTTTATTATACTGTTGTTCCTATACATCCTCCAGACTTCAGCCAGAATGTTAACACTCAAAGGTGACCTAAGTTGACCATCCTTACCTTATTACTCTTTACCACAAGGGACTATTCTTGATAGCTTCTATCGTAAGTGAAATTACTTTGTGTACAGTAATGACTAATTCCCCCGCTACACACAGCACTAATCATATTATTGTTTTATGTCCAGAACCTTGCATAGTGTCTTGATGTTCAATAGATAGTCCTAACTAGGAGAAAGGAGACAGGGAACACTGGAGCAAACAGAATGGAAGGGGAGTATTTCTGACAGTTTTCCAGGTAGCCTTGCATTAAAATAAAGTAGCAATTACTACAGAGTTGTTGTTGTTATGTGCCGTTGAGTCGCTTGCAACTCATAGCAACCCTATGTATAATAGCCCTGAAGCCTGCTCTATCCTATGCCAACTTTACTGTCTCTGACACACCTACACCCACTACCCCAGTCACTGAATCAATCCATCTCATCCAGGTTCTTCCTTTCTTGCGCTGACCCTCCTCCCTCCCAAGCATGAAGTCCCTCTCCAAGGACTGGTCCCTCCTTGCAACATGCCCAAAGCATGTCAGATGAAGCTTCAGAATTCTTGCCTCCAAGGAGCAGCCTGGTCTCACCCTCTCCAGGAGTCTATATTCATTATTCTTCTCTAGTACCACAGAGACTACATAACACAAGTACCAAAGGAAGGGATGTAAGGCAGATAATAATTAAGATACACCAAAAAACTCAAATATAAACACACTATACCAAGACTTGAGATGGTATCCAAAGCAGACAGGAAAAATTCAGAAGAAGGCATTCATACCCATTTTTTTTCCTTACCTCTGTTCTTGAGACTGCTCCTCCATATCTTCTTCAGAATCACCCTATGATTTAAAAAAAAAGTTTTAAGATTATATTAAGAAGAATATGTTTTAAGAATTGTTTCCAAGGACCACATAATGTCCAAAACAAATAGTTCTTCATATTTCACCCAAGGAGGGTGAGCATCTTTATTAATGACAGAGCAGGCATTCTCTAAGTATCTACCTGGGGGTGTGGGGGAAGACATTAGTAAAAGACTAACTGCTGAGTGATCCTTTTGATAATCACTATAAGAAAATATCCTACCTGTTGAAAAGCACCACATAAATATAATCTCAAAATTAGTTTCACATCACTTCTCTTCAAGAGCCTTAAGTTTAATTATAATTAAAATTTTCAAATACAGAAAATGTACTCTGTTTAGCTCAGAATCCCCTAAATGAATACCTGTTATGTTCTGGCATCGACATAAAAAGGCAAGTAATTTTGTAAATGGCATAAATAACACACTCAGATACTCTTCCAAAATCTTCTCCCAGAGACTTAATATGCTGGAATCTGATCACATGTGATGAGGGCAAAAAGAAAAGGTACTTGAAACAGAAATGAAACAGTAGACTGATTAAATGTGACATTTGTGATTTACAGGACAGATGTGTTCTCAAGTCAGATGGCACATTATTCCTTCTTGAAGCTCAGCACCACTGGCCTGATGGATATTCAACCTTCCTGTTTCTCCAGCTTCTCCCTACTTCAGTAGGGAGGTAGACTCCCTGGTGACCCTTACCCTTACCTGGCGCTGCCACAGTCTTCCAGAGTTCAGCCCTGGGCTGTCTTCAGCCTCATCTGCACAAACTCCCTCCGCAAGTTAACTCACAGTTATAACCTTGAGGTCCAAAGCCTTACCTCCAGCTTCAACTTCTTTCTCAATCACACTTGTGGACACTGGACATAAAACATCAAAAACTCTACACTTCCAAAAGGCTGCAACTCATGCATGTGGTTTTGCCCAGCACAGCATCAAGCCTTATCAACGCATGTGCTCCATGATACTTACAGGATGCAGTACTTTACCATTCCAATCGCATTTCCAAATGCTTCCAAAGGATATACACTTTGCCTTATTTTTCTGTTCCTCAGAAACAATAAGGACCACCACCATACTTAGTACTCTCAGACGCTCAACTCATTTTATATACATACACATGTAAAGGAGCTCTTGTGGCTGACTCCATGGGGGGATTTACTGCTAACCCCAGCATCACACCCTTCTGCAAGTCAAATCCACAACCAGCTCAGATAGAAAGAGAGTCAATATCCTCCCATGCAACTTACAGCCTTCGAAACCCAAAGAAGAATCAGTTATGAGTTGGTTCTGACTCGAAGGAAATGAGCGGAGTGTTCAACTCCATCAGAAACCGTGAGGACATCACACTTAACACCCTCAGGGGTCCCTGCCAACTGGCTCCTGTTTTTGCACGCCAAGGGCACTGTCCTTGACCTCTGAGCAAACTTCGGGGTCTTTTTGCACTGCTCTACTTGCACACTTGCAACCGTGAAGACCAACCCATTCATCTGAACTACAGGGAGCTCTGTCCTCTGTCCTGCCAGTAAATCAAGCCCACACCACGGCATGCTTGTAAAGGCAGAGCATCAGGGAATGAGACGCAGCTCCTCAGGAAGAGACTGAAACCCTGACTGGAAGGCAGAGCTCGTGAGGATGGTACAGGATCGGCAAGCCTTCAGTCATTGTACAGAGGGTAGCTGGGTGCCAGATTTGACCTCATCACAACAAATTAATATCCCAGGTCTCATATACCAAGATACTTTCAGGGCTACTGCTGTTGTTGTGTGCCATCGAGTCAGAACAGACCCACAGTTGACTCTCCGGAGGGTTGTGATAGACAGTTAATAGCATAGGAGGAGACTGCCCATCTGTCTCCCACAGAGCAGCTGGTGGATTTGAACTGTGGGTCTTTGGGATCATAGTGTAGCTTGTCATCACTAGGCCAGTGCTGTTAATGCCACTGAGTTGCCTGTGACTTATAGTTGACTCTATGCACAACAGCTCTAAACTCTGTATCCTGAGCCAGTCTCACTGTCTCCAACACACCTACCCCCCTTTCCCTAGTTCTTGTGTCAGTCTATCTCGTCCAGGGTCTTCCTCTCCTGTGCTATCCCTTCACCCTTCCAAGCATGATGCCTTTCTCCAAGAACTAGTCCCTCCTGGCAACATGCCCAAAGTAAGTGAGATGGGAGTTTCAAAATCTTTGCCTCTAAGGCATAACCTGGTTTCACCCACTCCAGGACAAACCTGTTTGTTCATCTTGGCAGTCTGTGGTATGTTCAATATTCTTCTCCAGCACCACAACTCAAAGACACTAATTCTTCTACTATCATCCTTAGTTATTATTGTCCAGCTCTTTGATGCACAATAATTAACTGCAAACGCCATGGCCTTGATGGGGTGTACTTTAGTCTCTACACTGACATGCTTGCTCTTCAGCACTCTGGAAAGGACCCTGGCAGGAGATTTTCCCAACACAATTCACCTTTTAATTTCCTGACTGTTAGTACCAAGAGTATTGACCGTGGAACCAAGCAAACGAAATTGTTAACAATCTTGATCTCTTCTCTATCTATCAGCGTGTTGCCAACTGGCCCAGTGGTGAGAATCTCTGTTTTCTTGATGTTGAGTCTCAATTCATATTGAAGAATGTAGTCCTTGACCTCCAGCAGTAAATGCTTCAAGTCCTCCTCAGTTTTAGCAAGCAAGGTTGTATCATCTGCATAACTCAGGCTGCTGATGGGCCTTCCTCTGACCTCAATGCCACAATCCTCCCCATAAAGTCCAGCCTCATGAATGATCTGTTCCACCTACAGACAGAAATGCTATGGAGACAGGATACATCCGTCCTAATGCCCTCCTTTCCTGATTCTGGACTAAGCTGTGCCAAGAAATCTGAAGGACAACTACCTGGCCAACTGACTAGAAGAGATCCATATTATTCCCATTCCAAAAGAATGTGATATGACAGAGTATGGAAATTAAAGAATAAAATCACTAATATCACACACAAGCAAAATCCTGTTGAATATTATCCAAAAATGACTGGAACAGTAATACATTGTCAGAGAACTGCTAGAAATGCAAGCTGAGTTCAGAAGAGGTCATGGCACTAGGGACATCACAGCCGTTGTTAGTTGGTTCTTAGCTAAAACTAGAGAGTAGCAGAGGAATATCTGTGTTTCATTGGCTATGCAAAGGCATTTGACTGTGTAGATCACAACAAATTGTGACTAACCTTGAGAAGAATGGGAATCCCAGAACACCTGATTGTGAGCATGTAAAACCTCTACTTGGACCAGAAAGCACTTGTCAGAACAGAGCAAGAAAACACTCCATGGTTCAAACTTAGGCCACCTGAGCTCCCCATTTAAAAGCTCTCTGCTTCGACCACCCCATGCCTCACAATGACAGCAATCTTCCTCAGTATGATTCATTATTTACCTGCAATGTGGGGTGGACCCAACATTCAAAGCCACTGTATCATGTCAATTCCTGCTCTATGTCTCTAACTGCTAGTCAGATATACTCCAAGCTTCTAAAGCTGAATCTGGACACAGTTTCCAATCTCTACAACCACACTAAACTACATTCTGTTTGAATTTAATATGTTAGCACAAAAGCACTGAACTGGCTAGAGTGATGGTCTGGGTTAGGTCTCAGAGAGACCATGGCTTCTAATTAGATGGCTAAGGAATCCCACCCTCCCCTAAACAGTAACTGGCCCCTCTAATACACACAGCCCCTTATCTTTCAATTCCTACATTTCAGCACTTGATTGTTATCTCAGAGTATTACCAGCCTTATCTCACCAATAACACCAAGCTCTCAAAGAGCAGTGACCAAATCCTTGTAATTCCTCCACCGCCCTCCCCACCTCTGGCAGTACCTTGCACTGGCTGTTCTAACTATAGTCTTTCAAGGACTGTCTCAAGTATCCCTTCAGAGTCCTCCACTGACCATACAATTAAAAACTGCAACTCCTACTCTCATCACACCGCTGAAATTCTCCACTCTGCCACACAGCATGTAACATTTTCTAAAAGATTCCTTATAACTTAGTATGCTGCAACTGTTATATGCAGTCACATAAAACCAGAATCAACTCATAGCTGACCTTCCAATAGGTTTTCAGAGGCTGCAAATCACATGGCAGGAGACAGCCCATCTTTCTCCCACAGAGGAGCTGGTAGGCTTACACAGCCTGCCTTTGGGTTGCCAGTGCACGAGGCCACCAGAGCTCCTGGTAGCTTCTTTTATTTCTTGTTTATTATCCGTATGTCCCTATCAGACTGCAAGTTCCTCAAGGAAAGGATTTTTCTGGGGTTTGTACACCATGACATCCCTAAAACAGTGCTTGGTCCAGAGTAGACGCTCATTAAAGGTGTGCACAGCTAATCATGGTCTGTTTCTTAGTATATGTGAATAAGATGACATTTGGTAATTTCAAGCACTTTTTTCCAAATCAAAACACAATATAAAATTATTTTCCTCTGATATGAGAATTCTGTCACCACAAAACTTCTCACCTGGTCAAACTTCTAAAACTCAGACAATAACACAGTGGTTTAACCTCATGGCCTCCAGAGCTTGACGCTTCCTGGGTTCAAATCCTGCCACCACCACGTTCTTAATAACCTGAGCAAGTTATTTAATCTTTCTGCACCCTAACTTCCCCAGAGTTTTCAACATATGAGCATGTGTTAATGTTCATAATGGACTTAAAGCAATGCAGATAGTGCTCAACAAATTTCTTTTTACTATGGATGGAAAATGAGATTTTATCAAAAAGAAATCTCTTTGACAGAAAGATTTCCAAATATTAGCCCATGACTCACTGGCTGGAACAAGCTACTCTTACATAACACAGTACCTGGGATAACAAAAAGAGCTCAGATGTTCATTGCACATTTCCTGTTTTACTTCCCACCAATTTCTGTTACACTCACGGACTGTAACAAAGGAAAAGATATGAGGTCTGTAAAAGTGTAGACT